TTCCTGGGAATTTCCTGCCAGGAGAATCCAGGACAAGACACCGGCTCTCACATGAGTGCCAAGCAGACTGGCATACACTCTCACAGGCTCTGCTCACACACGCACATGTGTATCTGTGCTCCCAGGTAAGCCCCACATATCCATGTTCACCTGCATAAGGGCAGACTCCAATCTGCACACACATCACTGTGGACCTCTGCTGCCACTGGCTCCAGCAAAGGGAAATGTATGAAAAAACACCCGTGACCTTAAAATCCTTTTATTCCTGTAATCACAGGCTGCCATCACCGTGGATACGCGCTGTCACCCCGGCCCCAGCCTGTCTCCCTCCATGGCTTCCAAAACTCCCAGCAGGCAGGCGGATGGGGAAGCTGCCCAGTTCCTGCTGGGGGTTGGGGGCAGTGGGAAGGGCACAACATGAGTGGAAAAGGTTTGAAGTTCACACCCAGAGCGGGAGAGCCGTAAAAAGACTGGTAGACAGAGATAGAGAAAGAGAAAGGAACACACAGCTGTAGCCACTAGCCACCAAAGACACAAATCACTGCTCATCCAGCTCAGATATACCCACTTCCAGGTTCATTCAAATACTCACAATCCATATACATTCCACTGAGGGAAAAGACGCTCCTAGATTTAAGCATATAAAGAACAGATATACACAAATCACAAACACTACAAAATTCCAAGCACACAACACATACAGAACATATACATTATGTAGGGATGAAGTAGATTTTCAGGCACAGTTCTCAAACTCATAAGCATGTACATATACAATGCAGATACATATACTCATTCACAAAATCGTGCATCTCAGACTATCACATCATGAAACAGACACACTCTACACACAGATTCACAGACATATAGAACTTGCACACACATGTCCTGGGTCCCAGCACATATACCATCCAGGTTCTCACATGGGAGACTCAACAGCTTAGTGACACACAGTCACATCTTTGTCAGCTGATTCTGCCTCTGGCTTTTGGGGGTAGATGAAGGGTTTGAGATTTCTGGGTCTTTGAAAGGGTAGTCCTTTCTCACTGCCAGCAGCCTGGGAAGGTGGGCTCAGCCCAGAGGGGGAGGCAGACAGAGCAAGGGGGAAGTAAGAATACAGAAAAAACTTTAGCGGGATATTCTTGTTGGGCAGTAGTGCGTGAGTAACGGGGGAGGCTTTTTGTGGTCTGGTGAGTTCCAGCTATGAGTGAGAGTTTAACTATTAATACACTTAATCAAGGACATTTCACACACATACACAGCCACACACACACAGCTTCAGAATGAGACCAGGTGGTAGGAGTAAGAGTGGGCAGGGGGCACAATCAGGGTCCCAGGAGAAGGAAGAGTTTCTATCCTGCTGTACCTCCAGAACAGAGGCATAATGATGACTGGGCGCCTCCCAGAAAGGTAAGATTTGATACCTAATAGGTGCTTGATACTTACACATTGGGTCAAAGGATGAATAAATGAATTACATGTAAATGACAGTAGGAAAGCCTGCCCCATGAAGATCAGTGAAGGCAAGTTCCAGTGCACCATGCTTAGAAATTATTTGTGATTAAATGATCATCCCATCAACAGGAGCTCTAGGAAAACAGGCCTGGGTCTGACCTACCTATATTCCTTCATTCCTCTACCACACTTTGCACCTTAGGAAGTCAACTAACTGACCTAGCCCAGTCCATATCCGGGTCTCTGATCAGGAGGCAAGTCCCCCATCTCCATTCTACTCTCTCATGAGTAACTAGGTGGGTACCTAAAGAAGGTGGGATATGGGGCTGGAGAGATGGCTTAGTGGTTAAGAGCACTGACTGCTCTTGCAGAGGACCCTGGGTTCAATTCTAAACACCCACATGGCTGACTAACCAGTTTCTAACTCCAGTTCCAGGAGATCCAACGCCTTCTTATGACCTCCTCAGGTAATTGCACGACATGGGTGCACTTACATACATGCAAGCAATACACTCCTACACATAAAATTGTCTTTTTGAAGCAGGGTCTCCCTGTAGCTCCAGCTGTCCTGGAACTCACTATGTAGACCAAGATGGCGTTGAACTCACAGAGATCCACCTGCCTCTGCCTCCCAAGTGCTGGGATTAAAGGAGTGAGCCACCACCCTGGCTCTATTTCTTTTTTAAAAAAAAATTAATTATTTTGTTATTTTTATTTTTTAAATTTATTTAATAACCACATAATTAGTAGAATTATTTCATTACAACAGCATTGACATATTCAATAACAATTTCCAGAGCTAAGATACATCTCTTTCAAAATTGGCTGTAAATTTTTAGGTTTACAGTTGAATTATGGCTCTTCATCTAGACACAATCCTGCCCTCCATAATCCTATGGGCCTCAGTTTCACACTTGCCAAATGGGTAGAAGACAAATCTGGAAAGCAGCAGAAAAACTTAAGGATCACAGTGGGCACCCTTAGAACAGGCCTTCGAGGGGCTTGGGCCCTGGATTCAGAATCCTCCCATTCTCTCCCCTCCCCCCATGCAGCCCAGCCCAGCCGGGTGGACATTCCAGGCCTCACGTGATAAAGAGGAGGGCCGCTCGAGTAAGTCAACAGGCTCTGTTGCAAGAGAGATAGGAGGCCCAGGCGAGGGTCACCTGCTGGGGGGCGGGGGTAGGCCAAACATACACATAAATAAGGTACCAAGTCAAGCCACCCATCTAGCCAAGGGCCTATCTTTTGCTGAGGAAAAACTGCCGCCGCCCCCCCCCCCGTGGAAAGGAGAGACTCAAGGCTGGCTAGGGGAGGCTTCCCCTGAAGAACTCAGCTCCAGCCAGAATGGGGGTGGGAGGCACCCACCAATCTATCAGGACTGGGAACTCATAGGCTAACTTCCCCTCATCTGTTCCCACCCCTCCCAGGGCAAAAATCAAACTGTCACACACACCCCCTCCTGCCTCCCCAAGGAAAGAGGGCAATTTCCGTTCTGGAAGGGGGGGGTGACAGCTGCAAAGCGGGCCACCCACCCCCCCCCGCCCCGCAAGCTCCAGCTTGACTTTCATCTAGGGAACTGCTAAATCAACACCATGCAGTTACAGAGAAGTAGCCTCGGCCTGAGTCTCCTCTGTATCACTCTCTAAAAGGAGATCCGAAGGGTTTCCAGTTGCGGCTAGAACCCAGGACACCGGAGGCTTTCGGAAGAGGATCAGGTCAAGCTTAGGCCAGTAGGGGCCCCAAAACGTCTTATTTAAAGGTTCCATATCGCGGGGACCATACACCTCCCCCAACCCCGTGGGCGGGGGCAGCTGAGGTGGCGCCGGGCGTTCAAATCGCGCTCCAAACAAGTCCGCAGCGACCACACTCGCAGCCCCCGCCAGGCGGCCCCAGCGGAAAACTTGAAAGGGACTCTGTTTGCTTGCAGCCCCGGGGCGGCTCCGGCAGGGGCGGGGGCGAGGGCCAAGCAATCACACGCCCCCCCTTCCCAACGCTTCCTGAGCAAATCCCGGGCGGGGGGGGGGGCGAGGGGGACACAAAACCAAGGACTCCAAACTGCGAAGGGGCACAGGGATAGGCGGGGACCAGAAGGCTGATCCCAGCCTCTCCTTTTGGGTACCCCCCGAATCCTAAGACCAACTCTCAGACTACCCGGGGTCTCCGGGGGCAAAGTAGGGTAAGGCTTCCAGACCTTCTGAATCCCCGCCCGTCTCAAGAGATAGGGCAGCAGGTCTTTCCGGATGAGTTACAACAGAACCCCCCCAAATCTAATGGTGCCTCCTTGCAACCCGTGGCACCAGCCCAACTCTGCGCACCTCTCACGATTTCCCCGGAGGGAAAAGGAGATCCTCCTGGTTCCCACATTGGGCACTCTTCTGACAGGTTCCGGAACAGCCCCCCCTTAAAAACGGGGTCCCTCACTTTCTGTGGATCCTATATATAAACAAAGCCAGGCGCACCCCGCGCTCCCCGCCGGAAAACAGCCCATTCTGGGCGAGGACAACTTCCCCCAGTCAGAAAATTAACACATTCCTCTCGCGGCGTTACAGCCCCTCGCCCCAGGGTTGCAAAGGGGAGGGGGCTCGGCGGGAGGGGGGACTTGGGGGTAAATCTGGGGCCTGAGGAGCAAGGCTCGGATACACGCTCGCCACGGCTCCGCAGCTGGGGGATCACTCCCACTCTCCTCCCCTGGCTTTGCACGCTGCTGGGCACACGCGGAGCTCGCGATGCAGTCCGCAGGACTCCCCAAGGCTGTAGAGGAAAGGATAGCGAGCCGCGGGGCCTGGCGGAGGTGGGGCGATATACTTTGACGGCAAGAAAAAAAGGTCAAACTTGATCAGCCCGCCAGGCACCCTACGGGCAACGGGGGCGCGGAGCCCAAGGGAAAATATAGAAGTGGCCGCGGCCTCTTCCAAGTGGAGAGGAGGCACGGCCACGCGTGATCCAAGGCGCTCACAACAGTTAGGGTCTCCGCCAAACAGCGGGCAGCGAGTGGGGTCTGAAGCAGGGAGTGTGCGGCTAGAGACCAGCAAACAGCCGCCCCCACAGGCGGCGCGCCCGCCCAGCACCCAGGGGCTAAGACCCCCGGCGCCCCGTTGCCCGCAAGCTCCAGTCACTGCGAAGGGACGGTCCCCCTCAGGGAAAGCCCCAACCTCGCCCCTCGGCGCCCAAGCTGCGGTCCTCAACCCGAAAACCCCTCTTTTTGTCTGAACTCAGTGATCTGCGACCGAGCATACTGCGGCTTGGGAAAAGGCTTGGATATAGAAGCGGCCACGGAACCATCACCCGAGCCAGGTCTCCCAGGCTCCGCGGCTCAGGCGGCGGGCGTCCCCCGCCCCTCCCAGACACGGACCCCTCCTTCCCGGTCCCCGGCTCTCCGCACCTGAACTTCGGGGGAACCCGCGCCGCCAAACTTTCCGCCGACTTGCAGCGAACTCCGGCCCTGGCCGCGCAGGGAGCCCCGGGGGAGGAGAGGGAGGTAGGCGGGGAAGGGGAGGGGGCCGGCCTCCTGGGGGGCCAGGGGAGGGCTGTGGCCCGACACCTACCGGCTCTCGGAGTCGCCCGAGCCGCCACCGTCGCTGCAAGGCCGAGGGGGAGGGGCGGGGCGGGAGCTGCGCTCAGCTCCGGGCACTGGCGCTCAGGGCACTGGCGTCCAGGGCACCGCCGCGGTGCGCTCCGCTCCAGTCGCCCGCCGTGCTCGGGTCCGGAGCTGGAGTCGCGCCGCCGCGGCTGGCCCGAAGCGGGGAGGGGGGGGGAGCCTGCAGCACCTGCCCCTCCTCCCCCTCCCCGCGGCCCAAATTAAAAAACAACAAAAAGCAACTAATCACCCCAGAGCGGAGCGCGGCGCTGCGCGGCGCGGCGAGTGGAGGGATCAGCGTGCGGCGCCTGGACTCAGCAGGCGGCGCGCATGGCTGGGCGCAGGCCGGGACGCGGGCCGGGCTTTGGGGACGAGGCTCCGTCGCTCTTCTAGCTGAGCTCGGACGCCTGCTCTAGCCACCACGGCCGCCTCTACTGCCTCCAGTGCCACCGCCTCTACATCCCAGCTCAGGCTCCGCCGCCTCTGCCGCCGCCGCCGCCGCCGCCGCCGCCGCCGCCGCGCGCCCGCCCGGGCAGGAGAGGAGCTCTGAACGCTGCCCGGGGGCTGCCGGCAAAACCCGGACCGGACTAGACGCTCCGCCCCCCCCCCCCCCCCCCGCCTCCCCCCCCCCCCATCCCAGCGCAGCTCTGGCCGCTTGGACGCCGCAGGCTCTGAAGCTGAAGCCGCAGCCGCTGCGCCTCTAGAACCCGGCGTCGTTGCGATGTCCGCCCAGCCTCAGCTCCCCCGCGTGCCCTGCCTCATCTTTTTTCCATGCAACTTTACCCCCCCAAAAGAAAACAAACAAAAAACACCTCCCCTCCTCCGCACGCACACCTTCTTTATAAGGGATACCAGGAATTGGAGACGCACCTTCCGAGAAATTTCGCCGACCTTCTGCTCCCAGTTCAGTTGGGCAAGCCGCAAGGATTGAGAGGGAGAATGTCCCTCCCACTCAGCAGCTCAGGTGTTCCTCGGTCGCGGACTCGAAGCCCAGGACAGTCAGGATCAGGGCTCGCGTTTAAAGACCGCACCCTTCCCAAAAGCACTTTCCTGGATTCAGTGGACATTAGGTGCACCGGAAGAAAAGAGATGAAGAGTCCTGTTCCCATTCCACAGATGAAGCAGCTAAACAGAGAAAGGCCCTTCTTGCTTTATAGGAACCTGAGTATTGGCGCTAAAGCATCTCTGTGGCCTATGAACCGAGAGCCTAAATCAGTACCTGGATCATAACGCTCAATAGATACAAGCTAACTAAAGGAAACCGCCGCGGCCCTTCCAGACAGAGTAGGTGCCCAGCGAGGACAGACGGATTTGAGCCGCATACCCTCCCATCTGTGCCTCTCCCACCTCCCCTGTGTGCCCATTTTGGGCACACAAGACACAAGACAGCTGGTGTCTTCTCTCTCGGGGACCCATAGAATGAGCCCTGGACTCTTAAAATCCCCAAGTGGAAGTTCTGCAGTCTTCTGGGAGTTGAGCAGGAGGTGGGGGTTTGCAGCCGGCAGACCTTCCCAGAGGCAGCCCCAAGTCTCACCGGGAAAGGGGAGGGACAGTGAAGTCCCGAAGGCAGTTTTGTGCTAAATATTAGTCAATTGGGGTCCAGATAACAGGGAGTTAACTACAGGGACCCGACCCTGGTGCCTCAGGCCATAGGCCAGGCCTCCCTGGGAGAAGCAATACAGGATCCCACCTCACTGCTTCCTTTGCCTCCTGGCTGTCAACCAGCCACAGCCATAGCCATGGGTTCTGCAGAGTTCTCCCTGAAGCTGGGGCTAAAATCCACCCTCCAAGCCATCTGTGTGGACTTGGGGCTTTAACCTAGTTGGGGCAGGGAGGATGTCAAAGAGCAGAGCTCATTTGAAATGTGTTACCTGTTTACCACTCCACAGGTTATGGAGGCTTTCCAGACACTAGAGATACTCTTCTCAGCCAGTTCCTTCCCTTGTCTACTGTCAAATAATGACTTCCTTGAGGTGTTTAGCCTCCTTTGAAACCTCTAGCAGGCTTCTTCATAGCCACCCCAAATAAGCCCATCAGGTAGTGAAAAACAAGGTGCTTGCTATGGAAACAGTTCTAAGACAGTAGTAATAACACTCATGCTTACCCCTAATCTACTTAGAGAGTCTGGCCCTCACCCTGAGTGTCAGGCTCTATTTGGTACAGGTCATACAAGGAAAAGTCCTGGTCTAGATGCTCCAGGATGCCCCAGCACTTAACCCTCCCTATCTACCTTATCCAGAGAAACTGAAACAGAGACTGTGAAGAGGGACTTGTTTCCTAGGAATCAGCAACAGGTCCAAGAAGATTAGGACCCAAAAAGAGCAAGGAGGCAGAGGCACTGTGAGTTTGAGGCCAGCCTGGTCTACATACTGTGTTCCAGGCCAGCTAGGGCAGCTAGGGCTATACAGTGAGACCCTGTCTCAAAAAAATTGAAAGGGGGGTTGGAAAGATCGCTCAGCCATTAAGAGCACTGGCTGATTTGCAGAAGACCCAGGCTCAAATCCCAGCATCCACAAAGCTGCTAACAACCATCCATAATTCCAGTTCCAGTTCTTCTGACTTCCTTGGGCATTGCATGACACAGGTGCACTTACATACATGCAGACAACACTCATACACATGAAATAAAAAATAATAAAATATTTTTTTAAAGTGAAAGGAGGGGCTGGAGAGATGACTCAAGAGTTAAGAGCACTGACTTCTCTTGCAGAGGACCTAGGTTTGATTCCCAGCACCCACATGACAGCTACTAACCGTCCTTAACTCCAGTTCCAGGGGAATCCAAAGCCCTCTTCTGACCTCAGCATTACACGATACAGGTGCACTCACATTAAAAAAAATAAAATTTTTTTCTTTAAAGTGAAAGGAGGAGCTGGGCGTGGTGGCACACGCCTTTAACCCCAGCACTTGGAAGGCAGAGGCAGGCTGATCTATGTGAGTTCAGAGAGTCTATATAGCGAGTTCCAGGCCAGCTGGGGCTACAGGGAAACCCTGTCTCAAAAAGACCAAAAAAAAAAAAAAAAGGTTAAAGGCTCCTACAAGTTCTTGAAGCCTGTGTGGGAAAAAAGCTCTATAGGGGTGAGGTGGGGAGGTTTGGAGATCTGGTTCATGCTTTTTTGTGCCAGCATGAAGACCTGAATTTGATCCCCAGAACCCACATAAAAATGCTGGCCTTGTAGGATGGAGAGATGGCTCAGTGGTTAAAAGCTCTGGCTGTTCAAAAGTTCATAACTACAGTTTAAGGGAATCCAACGCTCTCTTCTGGCCTTCCATGGTTATTGCATGTACATGGTACACTTCTTACATACTTGCAAGCAAAACACTCATAAAAATAAATTTTCTAAAATGCTGCGCTTGTAAACTGAGCACTGAAGAGGCAGAGACAGGATCCCTGGACAGCCAGCCTAGCCTAATTAGTGAGCTCCAAGCTAATGAGAAACCCTGACCCAAAGGAGGTAGACAGTATTCCTGAGGATGACACCTGAGGTTGTCCTCTAGCCTCCACACACTTGTGAGCCCTCAATACCATACACATAGGGCAGGGGAAGCCCCATCTCAGGGAATTGTTATAATTTTCAGAGACTTCTGCCTCCACCCACCCCCAAACTAAGAGGGCAAAGGCCAAGGGGCTACAGTGGAGGACAACCAAGTGATCCCAATGGGCATGGCTTCCTCAGAGAAGTGGTAACAAATGCCTGGCCTGGTTTGATCTGAGTCTTCCCCTTGCACCATGAAGAACTGGGAGAGATCCAGGTACTTGTCCAATGTAGTTAGCAAAGAGAAGAGATTTTCCCCATAGAAAACAGAACATGAACAGGAAATGTCACGTGCAAGCCATCTACTTATAACACTCCATCATAGATAGTAAGGGGACATCTTGGCAGGATGAAGTTGGGAAACCATCCCCGCCTTAGCCCCATCCTCCAAGAAGGAGGGAAGCCACCTTGATTCACTGCCCCTAGGTCCCCCCAAATGAAATATTTGTCTCACATCATTATTAATCATTCTATTGAGCTCTTTTTTAAAATTATTTTTATTTTATATGGATGAATGTATTGCCTCCATGGATGTAAGTGCACCTGTGTCATATAGTCCCCTTAGAGGCCAGAAGAGGGTGTTGGAATCCCCTGGAACTTGAGTTAAGGATGGTTGTTAGCTGCCATGTGGGTACTGGGAATCAAACCCAGGTCCTCTGTAAGAGCAGCCAGCCAGTGTTCATTAATCACTAAGTTTTTGTTGTTGTTTTTTTGGGTTTTTTTTTGGTCTTTTTGAGACAGGATCTCCCTGTAGCCCTAGCTGACCTGGAACTCACTATGTAGACCAGGCTGGCCTTAACTCAGAGAGCCAGCTGCCTGCCTCTGCCTTCAGAGTGCTGGGATTAAAGGTATGCACCACCACACACCCCTGCATCCCGCTACTGAATTTTTAACAAGCCAGTCAGCCTTTAGGAAGCAAGTCCCTCAAGTCTTCAACACCTGTGTGTCTTCAGTCCAGGACCCTGATTCATTTGTGTTCTCTCTTTCTCTCCCCACCTCCACCCCCACCTATCCCAGCCTAATTATGCCCTCTTGAATCCTGTTGATATTTATCTCTGACATTTATGAAGCTTTTCCCATCTCATTTTCTCTTTATGTCATCTCTGTTTTTCAGATGAAGAAACTGAAGTGAAGGGTTAGGGATTTAGCTCAGTGGTAGAGCACTTGGCTTAGCAAGCACAAGGTCCTGGGTTCAGTTCTCAGCTCCCAAGTGGAAAAAAAGAAAGAAAGAAACCAAGAAACTGAGGCGAGATTGGTACCAAAGTTGTTCTTTAACCCTGAGTTTTGCTGTCAGTGTTAAGCTTCTCCCAGTTGTGGGGCTCACCAGTTTGACATACTGCAGTGGCCCCAAGTCCACCAGATCAGCTTAAGTCCCTTAGCCAATGTGGCCAGGTTTTCCTAATCAGCCCTTCTTGCAGTTCCCAGGCCCTTTTGACCAGCACCTCTAGCACTGGCGGACCCCAAGACCCCTTCAAGTTTCCACTGTTTTTGCATATACTGTTTCCTCTTCCTAGAAGGGCTGATTCCAGCTCACCTCACGAGGTCCTGTTTAAGACCCAGAATATGTATCACCTCCACTGAGCGCCTTCTCTGACTGTCACTCTCAGCCTGAATTTGGGCTGTGCTTATAAGGCTAGCAGTGGTGCTTGTGCTACTTAGACAGGGTGTCAGTATAGTCCTGGCTGGCCTGGAACTTACTATAGAGATCAGGATGGCCTTGAACTCAGAGATCTGCCTACTTTTGCCTCCTGAGTGCTGGGATTAAAGGTGTGTGCCACTGCCTGGCTTTCTGAAGGACACTTGCTTAAGGTTACAAAGCATCAATAATACCAGCCAGGTGTGGTGGCACACAATACTCGGGAGGCCAAGGCAGGTAGATCTCTGTGAATTCAAGGCCAGCCTGGTCTACATAGTGAGTTTCAGGCCACCTAGGGTTATAGGGAGACCCTGTCTCAAAAAAACCAGGAAAAAACAAAAAA